GGTGGGATGGCAGTTCGGTGATTCCGGCGACGAGATACCCGGCTCCACTGTCTGTGGGCCCGTTATATACAGCGGCGGCGAGGCGAGGCGAGGCGAGGCCGGGTTGGTGGGTGCGCGCGCGGGGGCCGACGTGGCAGCGGCATCCGTGATAGTTTTTTTTTTTTTTTGAGGGGGCATCCGTGATAGTTTATGCTGGTCATTAGGCGCGTAGAGTATAGTAATGATTAATGCAGTGGGTTCATCATTGTCGCGGTTGGCCCGGTGCGACCGCTAAACTCCGGGTTAGTGGCGGAGTTCCACACGTAACAGTGTGCGATGGAGGGCGCGGATTGGTTTGTTTAGGCCTCGTGGATTGCTAATCCATGTGTGCCCACACGCTTGTTGTATACGGACCTCTTCTAGAACGAGGTCGGCGGAGGCCAGAATCAGGAACGGGGGCCAAGCCCACCCTCGTGCGACATGAGACACAAAGCCATGGGTTTCAAACTCTAACAGCTTGTTTGGCATCAATCATTTGGGTCAGAAATTGCAGAATTCATTCGCGAATTCCAACATGAACGTGTTTGTCTGCCCATGGATTTTGCATGGGAAACCATTCCACAAATCCAGCTGGTTGAAACGGTATGTAAAATCAAATTTCGTCCAATACCATGTCATTCCACAAATCCGTTCACGCTCGACGCCCTTATCTCGTCCCCGACGCCCGCGTCTCCTTCAACCACCACCACCACCCACGAGATCCGCCGACGCCAGAGGACCCGGGACATCGAAATCCATCGACAAGGCATCCCCGACGCCAGGAAAAGGCATCCCCATCTCCTCAACATTCTTAATCTCCATATGGGGCGGCTGATTTAGGGGAGGCCGATGGTGAGGGTTGCCACCACGAAGGCAACGGCCAGGGCACAAACAATCACTAGCCAAATGGCGAGGCAAGGGGACTATCTGGCATGTTCGTTGCTGAAATAGAAGTGGAACCAGGAGGGGGAGTCAACGATGCGACAGCGAATTTGGGATCACCATAGCTACCGTCGTCAAAGCCACCGTCTATATTGTTCTTCACACGCGCTCGTTGTACTCAGTGCCATATACTCGTTGTACTCTTTTTTTAAGGGCAATGGCGCTAGTTCTACCTTTTCATATCAGTAGAGGGGAAGTACACATGTTCCTCTCTTTCCAGAGGTTCCATGCAATGTAAGCAGCCGAAGTGATCTACGTCCGGGCACCCATATTATTGTGCAGAGCCTAGATTCTTCTTCATCAACCCTTGATCGTCATCGATGTTGTACCAATATAGGAAGCTTGAGGATTGCTTTGAAGGAAGGAATGCCAAGCTTCCCGTGCAAAAGGGTGGGTCAGCGTAAGATGGGCAGCCGACTCGAGCTCCTGATCACAAAACATGCACTTCCGTTGTGAGAATAATCCCTAGTAGCAAGACAATCTGTTGTCAAGTTCATGTTCTGAATTAACAACCAGAAGTAGAACTTCACCTTGGGCTCGCTCTTGATCTTTCAAGTTGCATGCAGCTGGTGGTCAGTGGAACGACCAACGAATTGAGCAGAATAAGCAGATGCAGCAGAGTAACATCCGCCGTTTGAGAGCCTCCAATGAATGCTATCATGAACATTCGAGAGGACAGTGGGATGGATCATGTCCCAAAGCTTGACAAGTTGGTCCAGGAGCTGCTCGGGGTTGATACATTCCAAACCATTCATCCATCTATTGCCAGCCAACACTTCATGGATAGAGAGGTTCTTTCGTCGTGCCAAATTAAACAGTTCAGGGGCAATATCAGCAAGAGCTATGCTATGCAGCGACCGGCCTTTCCAAAATCTTACTTGCTTCCCATTACCGAGGGTTATCACCGTGCAAGTAGAGAAGAGTGACTGGTCTGTGCTGTCAAATGGGATGGGGGAGCCCAGCCACGGTCAAGGATTGTTGCTCCATTCTAGCCAAGCCCGGCACAACCAGAGAGCGCGGATGAAGCATGCCAAATCCTTGACGCCCAGACCTCCCAAATTCTTTGGCGAGCAAACTTTCTTTCAATTGACAAGGCACTTACCGAGGGAGTCCTGGACTAGGGGTTCCTCGGGGCCGGCCTATCTCTCATGGGCCGGACTGCTGGGCCGCATTGTGTCCGGACCAAAGACCTCATATGCCTTGGTGTACGCTCCAAGTCAAGGTGGAAGATCCGGTGATCCCTTCCATGTAACTGACTATATGTAAATCTAGTGTTGGGAAACGTAGTATGCAATTTCAAAAAAAAATCTCGCGCTCACGCAAGATCTATCAAGGAGATGCATAGCAACAAGAGGGGGAGAGTGTGTCCACGTACCCTTGTAGACCAAAAGCGGAAGCGTTTACTTAACGTGGTTGATGTAGTTGAACGTCTTCTCGTTTTGACCGATGGAGTACCGAACGTGCGTCACCTCTGAGTTCTGCACACTTCAGCGCGATGACGTCCCTCGAGCTCTTGATCCAGTAGAGGAGCGAAGGAGTAGATGAGTTCCGTCAGCACGACAGCGTGGTGACGGTGATGGTGATGTGATACGCGCAGGGTTGCGCCTAAGCACCGCGAGAATATGACCGGAGGCGTAAACTGTGGAGGGGGCACCGCGCACGGCTAAGAGCAACTGTGGTGTCTCGTAGGGGCGCCCCCTGATGTCTGCTAAAACTACGTCGGTATTTTCCCAAAGAGGAAGGGATGATGCAGTATAGCGACGGTAGGTATTTCCCTCGGTGATGAGATCAAGGTTATCGAACCAGTAGGAGAACCTCCTCACACCACGTAAACATCACCTGCACACGAATAACAAATACTCGCAACCCGGCGTGTTAAAGGGGTTGTCAACCCCTTCCGGGTACGACGCCTCAAGATAGGCAAAAACGTGAGGTAAAAAGTGGTAGATAGGATAAATAGATCGCGGAACAAATAAATTGCAGCAAGGTATTTTTGTATTTTTTATTTGATAGATCTGAAAATAAATGCAAGAGAAAATAGATTGCCAAGACAAATATGATGAAAAGAGACCTGGGGCCGTAGGTTTCATTAGTGGCTGGGCCGACTACATCAACCGCGTTGTGAAACGCTTCTGCTTACGGTCTACGAGGGTACGTAGCCACACTCTCCCCCTCGTTGCTATGCATATCCATGGATAGATCATTACATGTGTGTAGAAAATTTTTGTTTTCCATGCAATGTTTCCCAACACAGAGGTTTGTGGATCTTTCTCTTCACAAAAGGTGAGGGGTAGAGTTCATGCTTTGTGCTTATTAAAAAACAACGAAAAGGAACGAGTTGCTTGATACATTGACATGTATATAGTGTAACAAAACACATGCTTACAGTTCTAACATGAATTTGATTGAAGTGGGAGTTGTGACATGCAAATGTTCTACAGTTGATGGTTCTGTACCATCGGTAATATTGTATAAACATAGTCTCTGGTTTTCATCTTCTTTCATGATATATTTTGTGATAAAAATTGAAATGCATTATGCACCTGTTCTTTCTATCATGGTTCCATTTTTTCTCAAGTTTATAAATTCTCTATGAATAGTAACATAGACGCATGTTCTTAATTCATTTGGATTTTTGTTCACCCTGAAATGGAGTATAGATCTAACACTGATATTTTTTTGAAGCATTGGGAGAACATTTATTAACATGCCGATAGGTGAAGTCTTTGTGAAACTTATTGGATGCATGCAGTGAGCCTGACGACCATGTACACCTTTTTTTTAAGTTAGGATTGCGTCTGCTATTGATCTATCTTGCTTAACACAAAGAACTCTGCATGATTTAGAAACAAGAGATAATGCAGACATTTTATTCGAGTAAAATGCATTGGTGATCATCGTATTTATGTCGAAAGCTCATTTTAGTCACTGTACTCAAGAACAGGGTCGGGCCGGTAAAATCTGGGGCCCTGTGCGAAACTACAAAGTGGGGTCTTATCACACTAAAAAAATTAACTCACGAGAAATTATAATATATATATATGTATCCCGCAAAAATATAATTATAATATATAATTGTATATAATAATGTTTCCAATCGAGTGGCTGCCTGAGGACTGTCGCCAAATCGCTGATCGATCCTCCTGTAGGCTGATCGATCACACCTAGCAATCAGAAGGCGATAGATTCCTGTCCCGGAGATCCCGTTTTTCTTTTTCTGTTGATGAAGGTGTGACGATCCCTGATACAAGGTTACGATAGAGCATCGTGGGATCGCCTGAGATCGAGCAGTGGCCTGGCTCGCGCCTAGACTCACGCGGTGTCGTAGACGCCAGCGGCCCAGGCCCAGGAATAACATTTTTTTCTGACAAATATACATACTAGGCCTACAATAATTTGGGGCCCGAAATTTTATGGGCCCTGTACGGGCCGCACACTCTGAATCACTGTGGGACCGGCCTTGCTCAAGAATACGATCAATACGGTCATTATACATGTCATTTGATGATTATACAGTCACCGGGTCACAGTAGAGCTTCGTATTTGATCTATTTTGACCAATCAAACGTCTTGCGTGGCCTAGTGAGC